ACCTCCTCTCTGAGTCACCTCTGAACCCTGACCTCTGATACACTTCCACCGTTTGTCTTTCAATTAAAATCCTATACATTATAATGTAATGCACTGTGACATGCTTCGTTTTCTTCATATGGTTTATAATCATGGAATGATTAAATTATTCTACATCCAGATTTGGAATTTAAAAAAATCATAAAACGTATTCTGCTGCCTGGATTTCTACAGGACAGGTTTTCTAAATGTCCGATGATTATGGCCACACAGAAAGCCCAAGAGTGATGATACATGAGAAGCAGCCTTCAAGTCAATGACCGTTTTATTTATTTTTTCATTCTAAAACATTTTAATACAGTCCAATATCAGAATATCTTCAGGATGTCTTCTGCGTTCCAGTCAGTGAATGTTGTGTTAGCAGCTTCAGATGTGGAGCACTTCACTAGTGAAGGGAAGGATGTGTGTCCAAGATCACTTTAGTTTTTGTCCCAGGCAGTGTCTCCATGACAACCTGAAGAACGATCCAACACCCTACAGAGAGTTAACAGTCTGAAGAACGATCCAACACCCTACAGAGAGTTAACAGTCTGAAGAACGATCCAACACCCTACAGAGAGTTAACAGTCTGAAGAACGATCCAACACCCTTAGAGAGTTAACAGTCTGAAGAACGATCCAACACCCTACAGAGAGTTAACAGTCTGAAGAACGATCCAACACCCTTAGAGAGTTAACAGTCTGAAGAACGATCCAACACCCTACAGAGAGTTAACAGTCTGAAGAACGATCCAACACCCTACAGAGAGTTAACAGTCTGAAGAACGATCCGACACCCTACAGAGAGTTAACAGTCTGAAGAACGATCCAACACCCTACAGAGAGTTAACAGTCTGAAGAACGATCCAACACCCTACAGAGAGTTAACAGTCTGAAGAACGATCCAACACCCTACAGAGAGTTAACAGTCTGAAGAACGATCCAACACCCTACAGAGAGTTAACAGTCTGAAGAACGATCCAACACCCTACAGAGAGTTAACAGTCTGAAGAACGATCCAACACCCTACAGAGAGTTAACAGTCTGAAGAACGCTCCAACACCCTTAGAGAGTTAACAGTCTGAAGAACGATCCAACACCCTACAGAGAGTTAACAGTCTGAAGAACGATCCAACACCCTACAGAGAGTTAACAGTCTGAAGAACGCTCCAACACCCTTAGAGAGTTAACAGTCTGAAGAACGCTCTCAGTCATCATGCACACTGGATGCTGTAGAACACGCACCATGTGGACTAGATCTGGTTAGGGTTAGTTAGTCCTCAGGCTGGTTAGGGTTGGTTAGTCCTCAGGCTGGTTAGGGTTGGTTAGTCCTCAGGCTGGTTAGGGTTGGTTAGTCCTCAGGCTGGTTAGGGTTGGTTAGTCCTCAGGCTGGTTAGGGTTGGTTAGTCCTCAGGCTGGCCAGGGACTAGATCTGGTTAGGGTTGGTTAGTCCTCAGGCTGGCCAGGGACTAGATCTGGTTAGGGTTGGTTAGTCTTCAGGCTGGTTAGGGTTGGTTAGTCCTCAGGCTGGCCAGGGACTAGATCTGGTTAGGGTTGGTTAGTCCTCAGGCTGGTTAGGGACTAGATCTGGTTAAGGTTGGTTAGTCCTCAGGCTGGTTAGGGACTAGATCTGGTTAAGGTTGGTTAGTCCTCAGGCTGGTTAGGGTGGTTAGTCCTCAGGCTGGCCAGGGATTGTCAATTGTCACTCATTCTGTAGACAAACACATAAAGACAGATGACATCAGTAATGTCTGTAGAAAGCCATTTAATACATAAAGGTCAGAGGTTAAAGGTCGTATCTTCACCTCAACCTCCAGGTCTGACTTCCTCTGAACCTTCTGAGTCTCTCTCCTCCTGGCGCCCCCTCTGCTCACCGCACCTACACAGACATGCATTACATCTTGACCGTGTACTGTGTGCCTGGCCCCCCCTCTGCTCACCGCACCTACACAGACATATATTACATCTTGACCGTGTACTGTGCGTGCCTGGCCCCCCCTCTGCTCACCGCACCTACACAGACATATATTACATCTTGACCGTGTACTGTGTGTGCCTGCAGAGATGGGATGTTCATGTGTGTCTCACCATAGTCTGAGAGGCTGGTTGGTCTGTCTGGCTGGTCTCTCTCTGGTTGTCTCTCTGGTTGTCTGTCTGGTTGTCTGTCTGGCTGAGGTTCATCAGACTTCTTATAGTAGTAGTCCTGGTCAGGGGGGCCGAACCTCTGACACATACAGACACATTACTATTGGATTAGTGTATGTGTGTGTGTGTGTCTGTGCGTGTGTGTGTGTGTGTGTGTGTGTGTACCTTGTCCGGCCACATGTAGCTGATGAAGAGGATGATGGGTAATCCCACGGTGAAGACGTAGACCCCCCAGAGCCAGGGACGAGAGTTAGTCGCTATCAGGAGTCGCTCCAACAGGCCGGGCTGGGAGAACACACACCACACACCACACACCACACACCACACACACACACACCACACACCACACACCACACACACACACACACACACACACACACACACACCACACACACCACACACCACACACACACACACCACACACCACACACCACACACACACACACACACACACACCACACACACACACACCACACACACACACCATCCACACACCACACACACACACACACACCAACACACCCACACACCACACCACCACACCACACACACACACACATTCACACACACACACCACACACACACACACACACACCACACACACACACATTCACATACATACATACACACACACACACCACACACCACAACACACACACACACCACACAACACACCACACACCACACACACACCACACACACACACCACACACACACCGCACGGACACACACCACACACACACACCACACACACCACACCACACACACACACCGCACACACACCGCACACACACAGACATGCACACGGTTATTTTTGAGTGGAGTATCACAAAGAGAGACGTACATATTGAGAGAGAGAGTGGGGGAGTGAAACAGACAGAGAGACGTACTTGTTTCCGGCCCCAGGTGTCCTGTGTCCATCTCTCAGCCAGCTCCAGGTCATCAGTCAACAGGAAGTTGTCAAACATCACTTCCCCCGACAATGACCACAGTTCCAGACCCAGCGCCCCGACTGACCCCGCCCCTAACCCAGACACCGGGGACTCTGGTTGGCTGTCAGAGGATTCTGTGTACTGGACCTCGTCTGTCAGCAGGCGGCCTTGACTGATCAGCGATTGGTCAATGAAAATCTCATACCTGCTGTCTAGATACAATTCTACAAACACACACACACACAGATGTGAGGTTTAGTGGTTAGGGTGCATACTAACGTAGAGGTAGGGTTTAGTTGTTAGGGTGCATACTAACGTAGAGGTTGGGTTTAGTGGTTAGGGTGCATACTAACGTAGAGGTTGGGTTTAGTGGTTAGGGTGCATACTAACGTAGAGGTAGGGTTTAGTGGTTAGGGTGCATACTAACGTAGAGGTAGGGTTTAGTGGTTAGGGTGCATACTAACGTAGAGGTAGGGTTTAGTGGTTAGGGTGCATACTAACGTAGAGGTAGGGTTTAGTGGTTAGGGTGCATACTAACGTAGAGGTAGGGTTTAGTGGTTAGGGTGCATACTAACGTAGAGGTAGGGTTTAGTGGTTAGGGTGCATACTAACGTAGAGGTATGGTTTAGCGGTTAGGCTGCATACTAACGTAGTGTGTAGAGGTGTGGTTGTCGGTCGGTGAAGTACACTGTCAGGTCATCGGCGGGTTGGGGGGCGTGTATCTCCTGGTTACGGCCGTTGCTAGAGTCCGTTACCCTGACGATGAGATGGAGGCGGTGGCTGGTGCCGCACTTATCAGGACCAAACATCACCGAGTACGGAGTGGCCTCACTGAACTGGCTCTACACACACACACACACACACACACACACACACACACAGATATACAAACGCACTTTGACACATGCACAAACACGACATCATACAACTGCCTCTATACAATACAACAACAGAACAACAAGCATCATTATAGCTAGAGGTAGATGTTGAGTTGTAGCAGTTAGGTTGACTCACCAGTCGTTAGGTTGACTCACCAGTCGTTAGGTTAGGTTGACTCACCAGTCGTTAGGTTGACTCACCAGTCGTTAGGTTGACTCACCAGTCGTTAGGATGACTCACCAGTCGTTAGGTTGACTCACCAGTCGTTAGGTTAGGTTGACTCACCAGTCGTTAGGTTGACTCACCAGTCGTTAGGTTAGGTTGACTCACCAGTCGTTAGGTTGACTCACCAGTCGTTAGGTTGACTCACCAGTCGTTAGGGTGACTCACCAGTCGTTAGGGTGACTCACCAGTCGTTAGGTTGACTCACCAGTCGTTAGGTTAGGTTGACTCACCAGTCGTTAGGTTGACTCACCAGTCGTTAGGGTGACTCACCAGTCGTTAGGTTGACTCACCAGTCGTTAGGTTAGGTTGACTCACCAGTCATTAGGTTGACTCACCAGTCGTTAGGGTGACTCACCAGTCGTTAGGGTGACTCACCAGTCGTTAGGGTGACTCACCAGTCGTTAGGTTAACTCACCAGTCGTTAGGGTGACTCACCAGTCGTTAGGTTGACTCACCAGTCGTTAGGGTGACTCACCAGTCGTTAGGGTGACTCACCAGTCGTTAGGTTGACTCACCAGTCGTTAGGGTGACTCACCAGTCGTTAGGTTGACTCACCAGTCGTTAGGGTGACTCACCAGTCGTTAGGGTGACTCACCAGTCATTAGGGTGACTCACCAGTCGTTAGGGTGACTCACCAGTCGTTAGGTTAACTCACCAGTCATTAGGTTGACTCACCAGTCGTTAGGGTGACTCACCAGTCGTTAGGGTGACTCACCAGTCGTTAGGTTGACTCACCAGTCGTTAGGGTGACTCACCAGTCGTTAGGTTAACTCACCAGTCGTTAGGTTGACTCACCAGTCGTTAGGGTGACTCACCAGTCGTTAGGGTGACTCACCAGTCGTTAGGTTAACTCACCAGTCGTTAGGGTGACTCACCAGTCGTTAGGGTGACTCACCAGTCGTTAGGGGAACTCACCAGTCGTTAGGTTGACTCACCAGTCATAAGGGTGACTCACCAGTCGTTAGGTTAACTCACCAGTCGTTAGGGTGACTCACCAGTCGTTACGTTGACTCACCAGTCATTAGGGTGACTCACCAGTCGTTAGGTTGACTCACCAGTCATTAGGTTGACTCACCAGTCGTTAGGTTAGGTTGACTCACCAGTCGTTAGGTTGACTCACCAGTCGTTAGGGTGACTCACCAGTCGTTAGGTTGACTCACCAGTCGTTAGGTTGACTCACCAGTCATAAGGGTGACTCACCAGTCGTTAGGTTAACTCACCAGTCGTTAGGTTGACTCACCAGTCGTTAGGGTGACTCACCAGTCGTTAGGTTGACTCACCAGTCGTTAGGGTGACTCACCAGTCGTTAGGGTGACTCACCAGTCGTTAGGGTGACTCACCAGTCGTTAGGGTGACTCACCAGTCGTTAGGTTGACTCACCAGTCATAAGGGTGACTCACCAGTCGTTAGGTTAACTCACCAGTCGTTAGGGTGACTCACCAGTCGTTAGGTTGACTCACCAGTCGTTAGGGTGACTCACCAGTCATTAGGGTGACTCACCAGTCGTTAGGGTGACTCACCAGTCGTTAGGGTGACTCACCAGTCATTAGGTTGACTCACCAGTCATTAGGGTGACTCACCAGTCGTTAGGTTAACTCACCAGTCGTTAGGGTGACTCACCAGTCGTTAGGTTAACTCACCAGTCGTTAGGTTGACTCACCAGTCGTTAGGTTGACTCACCAGTCGTAGCTGATGGGTCTGAGTCAGCAGTTTGATGTAGGCTCCACTGCACTCTACATCTCTCCCGAACTTCACCTCATACCTGTACACACACACACACACACAGTAGTAAGTAGTTTGATAAAGGCTCAACTGATGTGTGGGCGTGTGTATGTGTGTGTACTCACTGCAGGCAGAGCGGTGTGTGCATGAAGGTGAAGGGTCTGTGAAGGTAAGCAGCGATGGCGTGGTGTCGTCCTGATGACTTCATCACCAGTGCTCTGTTCCCAGGATACATTGCAGCCTCTGGCTCCTCCAACACCCACTGGCCTGGAGGAAACACACAACATTACCTTTAACCCCTGACCCTAACCCTAAACCCTAAACTCTGGCTCCTCTAATGCCCACTGACCTGGAGGAAAACGCACAGTATGAAAAAAATAAAAATAAATGTATGCACTCACTAACTGTAAGTGGCTCTGGATAAGAGCGTCTGCTAAATGACTAAAATGTAAATGTAATGACCTTTAACCCGTGAAATATAACCCCTAACCTCAGTGACAGCTCCTGGTCATACGTGCTTCATACACCTGTACCTGCCTATACCATCAAACTGTCAGTACTGTCAGTCTACCTACCATTATACTGTCAGTCTACCTACCATCAAACTGTCAGTACTGTCAGTCTACCTACCATCGTACTGTCAGTCTACCTACCATCATACTGTCAGTCTACCTACCATCATACTGTCACAGTGTAGTCTACCTACCATCGTATTTGAGAGCCTCAGCATTTGTCTCTTTCACAGCCTTGGACAGGACCCATCTCCTGTAACACACGGCACACATTGTTTTACTGATACGCCATTACTAATATTACTAAGACATTACTATTACTAACTACTATTACTAACTACTATGACTAAGACATTACTATTACTAACTACTATGACTAAGACATTACTATTACTAACTACTATGACTAAGACATTACTATTACTAACTACTATGACTAAGACATTACTATTACTAACTACTATTACTAAGACATTACTATTACTAACTACTATTACTAAGACATTACTATTACTAACTACTATTACTAACTACTATGACTAAGACATTACTATTACTAACTACTATGACTAAGACATTACTATTACTAACTACTATTACTAACTACTATTACTAACTACTATTACTAACTACTATTACTAACTACTATGACTAAGACATTACTATTACTAACTACTATGACTAAGACATTACTATTACTAACTACTATGACTAAGACATTACTATTACTAACTACTATTACTAAGACATTACTATTACTAACTACTATTACTAACTACTATGACTAAGACATTACTATTACTAACTACTATGACTAAGACATTACTATTACTAACTACTATTACTAACTACTATTACTAACTACTATTACTAACTACTATTACTAACTACTATGACTAAGACATTACTATTACTAACTACTATGACTAAGACATTACTATTACTAACTACTATGACTAAGACATTACTATTACTAACTACTATGACTAAGACATTACTATTACTAACTACTATTACTAAGACATTACTATTACTAACTACTATTACTAAGACATTACTATTACTAACTACTATTACTAACTACTATTACTAACTACTATGACTAAGACATTACTATTACTAACTACTATGACTAAGACATTACTATTACTAACTACTATTACTAACTACTATTACTAACTACTATTACTAAGACATTACTATTACTAACTACTATGACTAAGACATTACTATTACTAACTACTATTACTAAGACATTACTATTACTAACTACTATTACTAAGACATTACTATTACTAACTACTATTACTAACTACTATTACTAACTACTATGACTAAGACATTACTATTACTAACTACTATGACTAAGACATTACTATTACTAACTACTATTACTAACAACTATTACTAACTACTATTACTAAGACATTACTATTACTAACTACTATTACTAACTACTATGACTAAGACATTACTATTACTAACTACTATGACTAAGACATTACTATTACTAACTACTATTACTAAGACATTACTATTACTAACTACTATTACTAACTACTATTACTAACTACTATGACTAAGACATTACTATTACTAACTACTATTACTAAGACACTACGATATGGTGAATGTACTATGCAGATTTAAATAGATCACATGTCACCTGTCTAGAGGACCTGAGTCGAATGTCTCTGCAAAATGTGCTTCTTCTGGAACCTGAACACATCTGTAGATAGCCTGAGAGAGATAGAGAGAGAGAGAGAGAGAGAGAGAGGGGGAGAGAGAGAGAGACAGAGACAGAGAGAGAGAGAGACACAGAGAGAGAGAGAGACACAGAGACAGAGAGACAGAGAGACAGAGACAGAGAGAGAGAGAGAGACAGAGAGAGACACAGAGAGAGAGAGAGAGAGACACAGAGAGAGACAGGGAGAGAGAGAGAGACACAGAGAGAGACACACAGAGAGAGAGAGACAGAGAGAGAGACAGAGAGACAGAGACAGAGAGAAAGAGAGACACAGAGAGAGAGAGACAGAGAGAGAGAGAGACACAGAGAGAGAGAGAGAGAGAGACAGAGACAGAGACAGAGACAGAGAGAGAGACAGAGACAGAGAGAGAGAGAGAGACAGAGAGAGAGAGAGAGAGAGAGAACAGAGAGAGAGAGAGAGAGAGAGAGAGAGACAGAGAGAGAGAGAGAGAGAGAGACAGAGACAGAGACAGAGAGAGAGAGAGAGAGAGAGAGAGAGAGCCAATTAGAAATTCAAGAAAAATTGAACATCCTTGAATCGGTCATTAAAAACAACCAAAATCCATTAGATTACCCAATAACCCAACAAGAACTAAATGAAAAGCTAAAATCTATAAAATCAAAGAAGGCTTGTGGTCTAGATAACATCAGAAATGAAATGCTGAAAAACAGCACACCTGAGTTGCAAAATGCTGTGCTTAAGTTGTTCAACATAGTTTTATCTTCTGGCTGCTTCCCTGATATCTGGAACCAGGGGCTCATCTCCCCTATCCACAAATGTGGAGACAAATCAGACCCCAATAATTACAGGGGAATTTGCGTAAACAGCAACTTGGGAAAGGTTTTCTGTAGCATTTTGAATTCAAGAATTCAAACCTTTCTTCAAGAGAAAAATGTAATAAGTAAATGTCAAATTGGCTTTCTCCCTAACCATCGCACTACTGACCATATATACACCTTACATACACTAATTAATAAACACGTACACCAAAAAAAAGAGGGCAAAATATTTGCTTGCTTTATTGACTTTAAAAAAGCATTTGATTCTATTTGGCATGAAGGGCTATTCTACAAAATTCTCCAAAGTGGGCTTGGTGGTAAGGTGTATGACTTAATAAAATGTATGTACACAGAAAACAAGTGTGCAATAAAAATCAAAAACCAAAGAACAGAATTCTTTTCACAACGTCGAGGTGTGAGACAAGGCTGCAGTTTGAGTCCAAATCTTTTCAACATTTATATCAATGAGTTAGCAGACATGTTAGACCATTCTCCAGCCCCAGGACTTACACTATTTGACACAGAGGTAAAATACCTGCTATATGCTGATGACTTGGTACTTCTATCACCAACCAAAGAAGGTCTTCAACAGAACCTTAACATTCTAGAGCAATATTGCAATAATTGGGCCCTGGCAGTAAATTTCAAAAAAACTAAAATCATGATTTTCCAAAAACAAAACAGATGTCAGAAACACAAATATAAATTCACCCTGAACAACACCATAATTGAACACACTAAAAATTACACATACCTTGGTCTGACCATATCTGCATCGGGAAACTTTAATATGGCAGTGAATGCACTCAAAGAAAAAGCCCGCAGAGCATTGTATGCAATAAAAATGAAATTATTCAAAATCAATATCCCAATTAGAATTTGGACCAAAATATTTGACAGTGTAATCCTACCAATAGCTCTTTACGGAAGTGAGGTTTGGGGGCCACTCAATAAACTGGAATTTAAAATATGGGACAAACATCCAATTGAAGCCCTACATGCAGAATTCTGTCGGAATATTCTTAAAGTCCAGAGAAATAC